TTATGCCAATTTTTTCCTAGCCATTTTTTTGGACTGCCCTCTTATACATATATCAATGAATGAAACAGTACGTTGCGTTCTAGGCATCAAATTAAGAAACCATAAACGAGTCAGTTTTCATTTCGACGAGTTTCGCATATGTAAGTCACCTGCTTTATCGTATCTAATCACAACGTAAGGATAGTGATACGAACTTCGACAACTTGTTCAAAAGCGCATTAGATTTATTTTAGATCACTTGTTTACGAAATTTATATCCTAACTCTATAGCCATATATACCTTTTTGGTGAAATACGACGATAATACCACTTGACCCAAAGTCTTGATAGCTCTTGCTTCACTCTATAATATGAATTGATTAGATAATGGCTCGAATATTGCCCTCCCTCCTTTATTAAGTGTATGCTCGCAACATTTTATCTACTATCCTTTTTTATCTAAGGGCGCGCTTGATAGCTCGGATATAACCTTAGATGGGTTATAAGAACTTCCTATCTAATGTATGGTCATGCGCTTTGGAATTAGATTATGGGCTAGGCTATGAAATTCAGGATTTTGGGGTGGGAAAATTTCATCCCAACGGAATAGACTATGAAAATGCAGAAAGTTTTTTCTTTTGAAAGAAATCTTGAGATGACTTGGAACAGGCGAGGAAAGAGAAAGGTGGTACTTTCTGAGGAGAAAAGTCCACCACCGCCACTGTCCTCCAGCGACCCCCTCAATCCATGACATCGACCGCCACAAGATGCTCAAAGATAAATCGAGTACCAAATGGCACTACTTGGTTCTCTGTCGTAGATACAAGAGTGGCGTTGATTTGCTAGGCTTGAAGTGGACTCTGTCGTATAATAGATCGAGCCGTCACGCGGAAATCGCTTAACATGGTATTAGAGTTCGGTTCGTTCCATGCCTCTAAATATGCCCGAGTTATATGCCGGTCAAAAATAGCTCGAGGCAATTGGAGGGAAATATAAAAGCACTTTCGGAATAAGTGCATGTACATCCACGAGTTCCCAATCCTCAATGAATGTAGTACACTTGCTGTCGTGTGCAACACGAGAATGCGACCTTAGTGGAAGAATCAGAAAATATGCTAAAACTTGGTCGTGGAATCGTTCAATAATGACAATTAGTGCAAGAACCATATGACTCATTAATGTACTTCAAGCTACATTGCCGAACAAGATTGGACTCGATGTCGCTTCAACCATACCCACTCGCCATATGTAGCTCAATTTTTTATCCTAGCGAGCCGAGAGAATCATACAAGAGTATTGACAAATACATTCAATATGAAGGTTTAAATTCTTAGGACAAAACGGTTTTCTTAAGAATAAGAGTGTAGCATGAGTCGCTCTATGAAAAAAGCCACCCAACTCTCTAGCTCGATTTCCATCTAGCTTGTAACATGTCGAGCCAACTTGGAGTTCGATCTTACTTCAATTCAACTTATTGTGGCTCATAACTAACGTACTACTAAAAGTACCATATTCGTTTTATCTTATTTACGTGGAAATCTAGTTCAACCTTGATCCCAGCTAAAGCTTGGTGTACAAAGTGGTTTTAGAATAACGTATGTAGTCGGGTCGAGCTGAATTGGTCGACATCTCTCACCTTCAATTGAGCTTAAACTCGAAAAGCATGCTTGATCGGACGTATGAAGAGATAGGATTGACAGTCTTTTATGCCATTTCAATAATTGCCAAGCGGGAAAAGGAGTCCTCGATTGATTAGCGACACATCGAGAACCTGGTCGACTGCCAAGTTCATAGGAATCTTCTCGATAGAGGGAGGTAATCATCGGATCTCAGCCACACCACACACTGGCGGCGATCCCTTTGCCCTAGGGCGAGGGGAACTAGGAAGAAACCACAGAAACCCTCCACCTGAACCAAGTTGAACCCATACACTTCGATTCATCAATGCTCGATATGAATTAACTCACACCCGAACCATGAGAACGACACGTCTGAGATATGGACTCTTACAATAACTACGAAATACAAGGCCACGTTTGCTTTTGGTTGATACGTTCGCTGCATCTTTGAATGATGTGATGGGATTCGATTTCGTGCCGGACAGCTTCTGGTTCCAGTTTTGCCATGCAATTCCAAGTTGACAGGCCTCTGATATAGCTGGTGATCAATGCCGTTTATTATTATGGACATTCACATACGTACGTTGATAGATTAGCGTTGCATGCCCTTTGTCTCCTTCTCATCTTTTGTGTGGCATGGAATCTATGGATGTTGGTCTTGACTTCTATAATGTACTTTGCCAATGAAAAATTCTCTTTCTACTGGTGGCCTTGTCATCATGACACGCGTGCCTCTCATGTCTGCAAAAGCAGATTATTCTGTTTTTGACGTGCCAATAACTTAACGAAAATATTATTAGGGAAAATTGCGAAATCAACTTTGTTTTATTGCAAACATGGTCCATATTTTCAAAACCTAGCTGAAAAAACCATCCTCGCTTTTCAGCTACCATTTGAAGTTGCATTTGGGTTTTAACCCTACTTACGAATTAGGTATTTTCTTTCCAAATTTACCCTTCCCACTGTTCCAAACCTACCCACCGCAAAGCTCGTCTAACCAAAACCCTAACCCAACCTGAGCTGAGCCCCTCCTCTTCGGTGTTGCCCCCAATTGCCGCACCGTTACCACCCTGCCATCTCGAGCCGAGCCACCACCTTGTCTTCGTTAGCCACCCATGACGCCTCTCTCTTTTTTCCTTATGTTTCTCATTGTTTTCTACCTAGCATCAATGAGGGCTTGATGCCGGATATGGTCGAGCTTGCTCCCTGATCTGGTCGAGCTCCCCCGCAGCGTCGAGCTCGACAGCAACCAAACCCGGTGGAGGGCGTCGAGGAGGCCTGACCGTGGAGAAGACAAATACGAAAAGGGAGATCAGTGGGGAGAAGACATAAGGATGCGAGTGGCTCACTGGAGGCCTTCGTATATAAAAGTCAAATTGCTGTTCTAGATGAGGCCTTCGTATATAAAAGTCGACCCATCTTTTGTTATTAGACCCATTTGAAAATCTTTCATAAGATGTGCAATATGTGAATAGTGTGCTCCGCTTTGCAATGCACGAGTAATCACGTCATGGGCCTTTAGTGTGTGACTATAGTATCCTCACCGTGGGCCACGGGCCTATAACCTCAGGGGTAAACTGGTCATCAATGTTGCAACGGCCCTCGACCCCTAACACCACCGCGGCACGGGCGCCATCACACGGGTGTTCACATATCAAATTCGGATTTGGAATATGTGTCAATTGATGCCATGGTGGAGTATAATAGCTTCCGAATCCGTGTATTTGAAATTCATGTCATTTTCGACTTTGTCAAAATTTGCTTTTGTGAGTATTACCGGCTAGTGTCGCACGATGGGGCGGGGAATACCAATTTGCGTCTTGCCCAATCCCAATCTCTTGTTGGAGTTTGGTTGTTTGAGAGAATACCTCCCGTGAATTAAAATACCAAATTACGTACCCAAAAGTACCAATACGAAGATTTCGTAACAATGCTAGGTATCTTACTACTGGTTCACAAAATTAGTATATTGTACATTCGTTGAGAGATAGGGCAAAAAAAATATCGTATTGAGTGTTGAATATGATTCACTTATTTACATTATAATCTATCACATTATTTAATGCGCCAATTTTTGTAAATCAGTCTCACTATACAAGCATTACTCAAAAGTATGAAAGAATGATGTTGAAATAATGTACAACAAAGTCTACAATTAATTTACAAAGTCGATATATATATTAAACAATTGTTATAAACTCTTATTAAATGTTGAATATGATCTGGTCGTTCAAAGATTAATTTATCATCCCCAGTATCACTTGAAATATTGGTGGTAATGTTAGTGTGTTTGTTTTAGATTATTTGTATGTTTTGAATCTTTGCCGTGAAACCTAAACTATTAATCATAAACACACACACACACACACACACACACACACACACACACACACACACACACACACATATAAGTTTGTTTTTTTTTTTTTTGATCGGGTATATATATGCTTGTTTACTTATCAATACTTACATATTTTGCAAGGTTTCGAATAGCCCGCATTAAATAAAAGTCCAATCGCAGCATCTGCAGCATTTGCAAAAAAAGAAACATAACAAATAAAAAGTAAAAATTGGTCCAAACCTTAATCAATCGAACTCCTCAAACTCAATAGTAGTAGACACGAGTGACGAAAGTTCTCGCAACTGAACATCACTTGGACATGCAATTTCGTTTTTCTCAACGACAAGATCATAGAGGAGGAGGAGGAGGACAACCCCATTTTAGACGCAAAGTTAGATTAGACTAATCTAAAACATTCCAAAATCATGATTAGCAATTGATTAACACTAACAGAGCTGCACGTCGCGGTCATTTCATGTGTCCATTTCACAAACCTTGGAAAGGACTAAAGAAGACTATCATGTCTCTACCTCGGAGCCACGACGCGGTGATCAAAACCGTGTTTTCCTCCATTCATGATTAGAGAAAACTTCCTCCCTAGAATCCCGATCGTTAATGGATATTATTGACGTATACACATGAAAATTTCCTCTAACCAGAAATGCCAGAGTACTAAAACTTGATTCGTAAAGTGATGCGACGGAATTGCAATAGATATCGGAAATAGACAACAAAAATCCGTCATTTCATTTCACGGATCTAACTCTTTAAAATCAAACTTAGTAGTACGTTTGTCCACATAGCAATAACAATATCCTTCCCCCTAGAAAAAAACGAACGGGTCGTTGTCCCACAGTTCCCAAACGTTTCGTCCACGCTAAACAAAGTCGCCGAAAAATCGATAACATTCGAAGAACTTTCCTTTGTCTCGGAACGCTCAGTATCCTTTTATAGAAACCTATATTGATTCGATTAATATATTGCGAACCTCTTTTTGATCTCTAGCAAGTGAAATCTCTCTGCTCCTAGGATACATTATACACACAATTCAGATTTCCGCCATGGACGAAGAACATCACCACCACAACCGCAGGTTCGAGCTCGACCCACTGATCATCGGCCTCCTCGGGATCATGGTCGGAGCCGTCGTGGTCGCGACCTACCACTGCATCCTCGTCGGCCTCCCCAGCAGACGCCATCAAGCTCAACTTAGTAGTAATTCCGATGAGCACGATCAAGAAAGTGATGATCGGGCTCAGAGGCCAAGACGAGCCAGGCCGGGCCTTACCCCGGTGGAGCTGGACCTTGCTGTGATCCGTGACGACAAGGACTCGAGAGAGGAGGACGCGTGCGCCGTGTGCCTTTGCGAGTTCGACGACGGCGAGTCGGTTCGGGTGCTGCCCGAGTGCATGCACTACTTCCACGCAGCTTGTGTCGACGCGTGGCTCTACTCGCATGCCAATTGCCCGCTGTGTCGAGCCAAGGCGGGCCCTCCGGCAGATGTCGCACTCTCTGTGGCAGAATTCGGCGGCGTTCCGGCGCCAGAGCATCATAGAGAGGCGGTTCTCGGGAGTTCGGATCCAGCCAGCGGTAGTAACAACGAGGTGTAGTTCCAAGTTTTGAATGAGAGAGATTTGAAAGGCAAAAAGTTATCTCGTCGGTTGGTGAAATATGGAAGAAAATGGAGGCTGTTACGCGAAAACAGGATTGTATTTTTCAATTCACTGAAGTAACGCTACGTTGGACAAGAAAATGGTAATTCGTAAATATTCAAATTGAGACAACGATTTGGTCGAAAGGACGCGCATTTATGGAGAATTACCAACGTCGATCTTAACCGATGAAGCCATTCGTGCATTATTATGATAAATCTCCGGGCTCCACACGGATTACCATGTCGTAGCCAGTTAGGTTTGTCGCGCCTGAGATATCGGCGAATCCTATAGGATACAGAGTTGACTCGGTTGGTAGAAGTCCCTTTTTTCCTCGATTTTAGATCTATGCATTAGAATGAACCATGAGTCTTCGTAGTCATCGATCGCCGCGTGGATTTAAAGAACTTAATTTCCAACTCAAAATGGGTAAGCCGTTCACACGGCTCCATTGCGTTGGAGTTCAAGGACCTGTATTAGCCTAAGGAATCTGATCTTTGCCACGAACCACTCGCTCTTGCTTTTTGACGGCACCAGGAGAATTTGTTCGCCGGGCCCAAGCAAGAGACAAAATCCAGGCCAGCCCAAATAATTCATTTGGAATGTGAATACTGAACTATCGACGAAGATGTTAGAATAATTAAATATTAAACTACGATTTCATCTAATACAGTTTAAGTTTTTAGAATAGTTGGCAGTGATCCCACCAAAATCTCACATGGTATCAAAGCTCGGGTTGCCAACAAGTCTGAACCCAATAGTCACACGAGAGCCTGCGTTTTCGACTCAGGCCCAATGTGTGAGGGGGAGATTATTGAGGTTGTTCCACATCGGTTGTGGAAGGGGTTGGTAGTCAGTTTATAAGTGTGAGGGAAAGTCTCATCCTTTGAGCTGGCTTTTGGAGTGAGAGAGGCCCAAGAGTACCCAACAGAAGATTCATTCATTAACAGATTCTCGAGGATTGGATTTTAACCTAAGTGTTGCGGGCATACGTGTTATAAGATATGTTTAATTGCTACGAAAATACCATTTGTTGGACTGGATTTTTTCGTGCGAGAGCATCACTTAGTCCAAATCGAACCATCGCAAATTCGATTAAGCAAATGTCTGAGATAAAGAGTGCCAGCAAATGTCCAACAAGAAGAGGGTCCATCGGATTTGATCGTGTCAACCGTACATTCCTATTCCATATTTCCAAAAAGAGAGACGTCGACAACTTCAAATTACTTGCTTCCAAACACGATAGATATCATGTTTGTAAATCGAAGTTAATCATTCGACGTGTTTATCAATGAGCACGAAATAACAAATATAGAATTACTTACAAATCTCCTCCATCGCCATCATCATCACATGAAAGTCATGTGGTAGTGCACGACCATCGTGTCACCATTGTAGCCGCCGCCGCCGCCCTAACCGTCGAGCCGATCACCGAAACAAGTGTACTACCAAGTCGTGATATAGCAAGTTGTGCGTATAGCGGCAATGAAAACCATAACACTTTTAACATAAAAGCTTACATGCTCTTCAGAAAAAATATAAAGTAATCACGTGATGCAAGTATAATGCTTTCTTTCTATCTCGTGTTTTTCAATTTAGCAATGCAGCTAAAGTTGTATCCTTACTGAACTTTGCTCACTATGTTTTGGTCCTCAAAGTTATGCGCTCGTTTTCTAGGTGGTCCCCCGGAATCAAAAGTCCTCATTTGACTATTTATAATTTGCATTGCTAAGTAGACCCCATAATTGCATTAAACTCCCCCAATTAATCGTCACACTGCACTTTGAGCACCGCCTTTTTTCCTCAATTTTCGATGTTTTCATCCGCCATCATATTTCAAAAAGTATCGCCCCGACGGAGTTTTTCAGAACCTTCTTCGAAGTATTTTGTAGGGCCAAGAACTCTTAATCATATGGAAAGGGTTGAAAGAGAAGAAGTTGATATTTCTTTTTTGGTAGGTAGAAAAAAAAAATGGAGATAGGTGCACTGACAAAAAATCACCGGCAGGATCTTTTCTTAGCACTGGGGGTCATGAGCAAGACACATATCCATTTCCATTCCGAGTAGAACATTCATGTGTACGAATGTCTTGATTGCCCGAAGTTACATAGAAATAATGATATGGAAATATCAAAAATATATGCGTATCGAGTTCCATATCGAAAACATAGCTCTACTTTTAAAAGTACGAGTTTTCCACTTCGTCTCGGCAAAATTGTGCACTTCTACCAGTTGTCATTTTTCTTTCCATAAATGCCACAGCCCTAACTCAAGCACCACCCATGTCCAAACCCTAATCACAAGCCCACCGCCGCCACCGAGGTCTCTGGCCAGTTGCCCGGCATCCTTTGACGCCACAGCAAAGTCGCCCGACCCAATAGTTGTCCCTTTGCCCGTCCTCCTGCCCGGTTCCCTCAAATTCTCTCGCACAAAGAAGGTGCACTACCGGCGGGGGGCTCGGGTTCAAGACCCGGGTAGACTCGGGTTGATGAGAGGTCTTTAGGGTGGTCTAAGGCTAGGGTTTTTGGAACTTTTACACAAGGGATGATATTTAAGTCATTTTAGCGGGGCTGAGTTAGCAACCTTAATATGCTTGTTATTGGAGTGAAAACTCATATATATGTTTTTGTGTTTTTCCCAAATGATTTCACTTGGGTAAGTAGTATTAAAATCTTCGCATTTTCCCCCTGAATTTCATGCATAAAGGTTGGAGGAAGTTCTCAAGCATTAATTGGATTGGTTGTTCAAATGGCTCTTGGGTGTGGAGATTTGACTATTATTATCACGAGATGTGTCTGCTCGAATAAACAAATGTGGGCTGAGCTGCACTCTCCATTTCAGAGCATAAACACACATCTTTATCCATGCATGATGAGATCCACTAATCTCTCCCTCTCCCTCCTCTTTCTCTCCCACCACAATGCTTAACACCGCAGAATTCTTGTAGGTTAAGGAATATGTATCACCTCTCTCTCTCTCTCTCTCTCTCTCTCTCTCTCTCTCTCTCTCTCCAAAAACAAAACCTAAAAAGGCAAAGAACAAAAAGGAGTATAGCAAGATGGAACAGCAAGAAGTTAATATATATAAATAACTAAAAGGACCCTCCTTTATTTTTGCTCCTTCATTCCACTTCCTCTTTCCTTTTCTCTCCACATCTCTCTGCAACTCTCTCTCTCTCTCTCTCTCTCTCCCCCTTCCTCTCTCTCTCCCCCTCTCCCTCTCTCTCTCTCTTTCTCTCCCTGCCTGTGTTGATGTGATTCTCCACTACATATTTCTTCAAAGCCAACCCATCAAGCTTTACAAAAGAGAGATCAAAGAACAACAAAGCAACCATGGTTTTCTCATCCCTCCCAGCTTATCTTGATCCATCCAACTGGCAACAGGTGAGGGTTTTCTTCAAACATGGTTTATTTGCTTTGCAAGAAAAAGCTAAAATTTTTCAAAAGATAAATATTCTCATGTGTTACTTTTGTTAATGCCTTGTTTGAATATACCAGAGATATTTGATTTCTTGCTTTTCTTCCACACTTTTTCATAGCAACCAAATCATCACCATCATCAAGCTGGAAATAGTGGTCTCAACACTCAGCTCCCACCAGCTCCTCCTCCGCCGCCGCCTCCTCCTCCTCCACAACCCCATGGAGGACCTGGAGGCAACCCCGGCAGTTCGATCCGGCCAGGCTCGATGGTCGAGCGGGCCCGGATGGCCAACATACCCATGCCAGAGGCAGCGCTCAAGTGCCCGCGATGTGAGTCCACCAACACGAAGTTTTGCTACTTCAACAACTACAGCCTCTCTCAACCAAGGCACTTCTGCAAGACCTGCAGAAGGTACTGGACACGAGGGGGAGCGTTAAGGAATGTTCCCGTTGGAGGAGGCTGCAGGCGGAACAAGAGGAGCAAAGGAAGCAGCTCCAAATCTCCCATCACAAGTGGCGGCAGCGACCAACAAGCCAGTGGTGGCTCCGCTAGCAGCATCTCCTCAAGAAGCAGCGGCGGTCTCACCGGCGACATGCTGAGCCGGGCGACGGCGCAAATACCGGGCCTCCGCTACATGTCTCCAAGCAGCTTGAGCAGCCTCGGTGAGCTGGGTAATTCAGGAGAGATGGGGCTGAACTATGGCGGGATTCCTGGTTCTATGGTTGGGGACGCCGGGAATTTTAGCTTCCAATTGGGTGGTAACAGCTCGCTCTTATCGATGGGAAGCATCGAGCACCAGTGGCGTCTGCATCAGGTCACACAGCAGTTCCCCTTCATGAGTAGCTTGGACAAGCACACCAATCTGTACCCAATGGATGCTTCCACGAGTGGCGTTGAGCCGTCAGGTCTCGCAGGTCATCATCATCATCAGGTCAGGCCAAATCTGTTCATGAACTCAGGGGCTTCTCAGATGGGCTCAGTGAAGATGGAAGACATCAACCAAGACCAGTTGAACTTGTCAAGGCAGTTGATGGGGAATTCAGGGGCTAATGACCAGTTCTGGAGTGTTGGTGGTGGTGGTGGTGGTGGTGGTAGCGCATGGACCGATCTTTCGGGTTTTAGCTCTTCTTCTACAAGCAGTGCTTTATAGAGATCATGCCTTTGAAGCCTTAGCTTTGTCCAGAAAACCTTCCTTGCTTTGAAGCTTCAGTTCTTTTTGTTAGTGTAGCTTCAACTTCAACAACAAAGCTCCAATACTCATCTTGTTCGCAGCTATAAGTTGCCCACAGTCGGCCTACTAGTTCAGGAGTTACTGAGATTTTTAAGGGTGAGCTTTGTGTTCTTCACTGAAGAAAACCCTAGAATTGTGTCTTTTTTCTTTTCTTCTTTTCTCTTTTCCTGTGGTTTTTTCTTTGCTTGAATCTAGATCGACGATGTGTATGACATGTATAACATGAGTAAGAGACGAACCCGCAAGCTGCAACTACATCCATGTCTTGCTAGTGTTCTTATGTTCAAGGTGATGTACAAGACGAGGTATTGGGGACCGAAAAGTAATGTAATACAAGTTTTCTTCACTCCATTATGTGGATATTTTTAGTGTCTAAACTTATTAATCGCATCACGTGGTCATATACGTTCACTTATTATATTACTGAATATTTGGGGGAGGAATGCGATTATGGTCAGAAGGTCTCTCTTGTATAACAACAGTTTGGCTGGTATGGAATCGATATCTTTCAATTACTTCACTTCGCCATTGACGTATTTTATTCAACTCGAGGGCAAGCTAGTTGATGTAGTTTAATCCCTCTTACCTTATGGCCAAAAATAAGAAGAACACCTCTTATCCATTTGATCTTGCCGACGAGAAAGCATGACTTCTTGGCTAAATGTTAATTTAGAAGACAAAAATTGCATCGGTTTACTCTACTCAGATCATGACACGTCTTTGATCTGGAATATATGCGTTGCGTCGATAGCCTGTAATGATTTGTGGAGAGTAGATTGAGTTGAGTAATGCGAAAGAATCACAGTTATCCTTGCAAACGAAAAGCTCAGATGATGTTCTTTGCGACGAACTCGAACACCATTTTGTACAACGAATGAGGCTTGGACAAAGACACTTGTTTAAAAGATCAAAATACGTCGTGCCTTCGCCATCAGAAGAAAGATTGATTTCTACAAAGTGATCATGATAATGAGTTTCGTGAAATTATTTTAGAAAGTGTGTTTTAGCTGATTCTCAATTGAACTAGCAAATCACGAAGATATTAGATCATTTGAATGTTATGTTTTAAGATATATGTTGTGCAATAACTAAAAAAGACAAAGCCTTAGAATCGAGATTTCCTAGAGGTTGATCAAGTTGATAAAATGGCTGAAGATAATAACCGTAACGTCTCACGTTCAATTCCTATACAATGCAACCTCTTGGAGAGCGATATATTGCAAAAAGACCCTAGATTTATTACTTCTACGCTAAACTTTTTATGTAATGACTCATTCACTGGTGAACAAAATCAAGAGATGGATGATATGATGCCCTTTTAGTTAAGGTCGCTAGTAACACTATAAAATTTTCTTACTATCCGATTACAGTGTGAAAAACAATTTAAATTGTCGTTGTTTGATGATGGACATAGGAGAATTCAGTTTTGCAAGTAGTTTCGCGTGTGTATATGTGTCACCCTTCATGTGCGATCGCGTTGCATTTTTTCACATTTTAAGTGGACCTTTTCATTAGTCTATATCACTTTGCATGCTGTGTAATTAATAATGTTCGATAAATTTCATTCAGTTAATAAATACATTGAGATTATTTTAACTTTTCATTTAGTTTGAATGAATTTTCAATCTACCATTTAGGTTATAGCCTCATCATCATTTCAAACACATCACGGCACCCAAACATTACTCTGGATCTTTTCTGAATATGATTTGTCTAACATAATATCATAGCACAAACGCGAATGTGAATGACCGACACAACTTATATTCATATATATTCCGTCTATATCATTCCCATTATTCCGCTTGTTTTTCTATATGAAAAAACTATCAACTCGACATGGTTACCACACATATACGATGTGTTTGATACGTATACTGCAACTTACACAAACATGAAAATACTGAAAAAGATATATCGATGTCGAGATTACATAATCTATCTCGTTTTCTGTGGATAAACTCTTGTTGGGAATGATTTATCTAACACCACCAAAGACCCTTCTTTCGATATAACACAACATGTCTATCCGGGTTTGTTTCTAGAAATTTGGACGAGATCTTACCTAGGATGTCCCCCACAATGTCATGGAAATCTTTGGGGGTTTTCGAGGAGAATGAGAAGGGTTTTCGGTCGCATACACAGAGGAATGATTTTGGAATCATGTAAAGGATGTACTTAAGCAATAAACAAATAATATGTGGAGACTGTACTGACTGTTCTTTGAGTGGTCGGTCGGTCAGATGAGAGTGAGACTAAATCCAAGAGAGAGAGAGAGACAGAGATGAAGCGTTAATTACGTGATTTTGGGTTGGTGGGACAAGACCCTCGAACGACGCCAAAAGATTTTGTACCACTCAGAACCCTAACTATACACAAACACACCCCCAAAATCTTTCACTGACTTCCAATTGAAAATTACAAAAAAAAAAAAAGGGGCACTGTTGCCACAGTTATTCTGGTTTAAAGATAGAAAGATTTTATGGGGTCCATTGTCGACCATTTTAAAATCTTGTACAATTAGATAAACACATGATTTCATTATTTAAAATATATTAGCACAAGGCCAGAAAGGATTTTGAAGGCATAACCTTCTACTTTGAGACCGGAAAGATTTCGCGAGAATTACTAGCAGTATTTATATTTGAAAGGGTGTGTAAATTCAACTAATTAAATTCGAGCACGCGTCTCTTATTAATCACGACAATTTCGATCGTGAAATGTGTTTTTCATCGAGTAATGAACTTGACATGACAAATACTTTAGGTGAATCTGAAAATACCACGTATATATGTATATCTACTGTACAAAATTTAGATAGTCACCATCAATTAAACTCAAACTTTGTTGAATCATAATAGGGCGAGGCGAATGCGAGAGTCAAAGGGATCGGATGGCGTCGCCGAGCGAGGGAGGGAGGAAGGGGGATGTCTTGGAACCGAACCGAACCGCCCCTCCACTTTCGGCAACTTTCACGCGCGTGAATCCGCGTGCCCTTCCCGACTCACAAGAAAACAAACCCTTCTTTTGTCAGTTTTTGGACCAAATCATCGCTTTGGACTCTTGTTGGAACGACCCTACCCTCCCAAAAAGCAAATTTTGCCCCCCCTCCCAAACTTAATTTCCATCATCAACGTGAAAATCATCGATTTTGCATCTGCTAGTACGAGTTTTAATTTGGTGGGTACCATCTCTAGATCCGCGTTTGTCGAACAATGACGCGCAATCTCAATCCCCAAAAAGTAGGAGAGGCTCGAGTCCACTTCTCAGACGATCATAATCACTCAATGTCACATTACGATGATATGACTTGTTGCGATTTTCTTCGTAATTCGATCTTGGACCACCCTTTTTCTGATCGAGTGGAGGAAGTGAACTTAGTTTGGAGCTTATAATCTAATTGACGCGTGAAGTCGTGGTCATACTTGACAAGAGATGTCGTTTGCAAAACCTTAATGATCTCGGAGCTACCCGTTGTGGGTGCATTTCACTATCGAGAATTTGTCTCGTAATTATTGTTGTAGGACTATCATACTTTTCGCTGTTGATTGTAATCCACGATTTGCATTCCTGTCCTAACACTTCACACGCTTGAATTGATAAGATGGTTAGAGCTCATGATTTGGGCATTTGCCACTTCATGCGCACAGATTTCTTCATTTCTGATACACCGGTGGGTTGCGGTGATAGGGTTGCATAACTACAAATGGACTAAATAGTTATGGCTTAAACCAAATGTTCAACAGGGAATAATCTTTGTCGATTGCACCTATCGCCCTTTTCCTCGTAATAGCAATTACCAAAGCTTAAAAGAAAACATTGTAAATATGAACCAACAAGATTGATTAGCTGTAAATACTACATTCATTTGTCCACAATCGATCCAGTAAGCAATGCTATCCAGATGCAAGGTATCCACAATGTAATGGCAATCTAATAAAATCTATTAACAACTGACAACAAAAGAAAATTATCGCTTACTACTTTTCCAAATCAATAATTACAAAAGAAAATTTACTAGATTAACTGACGACACAATCAAAATACACACAACCATCGAAACATGGGTGACTTGTTTGCTTTAAGGTAATTCCTCAATCGAAATCCTCGCATACGACAATTATAAATGACATTCGTGTTTACATAGACAACAAAGCCAATAAAAATCTACAACATGAGTCTGCAGTCCCTCATGGGCATGGAGCCCTCGCGATCTTTTATCATCGAACCAAAATGCAACAGATCTCAACCTAAATAGTTGCGATCTTTTACTTTTTCGATCCAACGATGAAAATACGCGGTGGAGGCACGACACCATGAAAGACTTTTGGACTTAACCCTAGACATATGGTCACGCCATAGCCATGGGCAAGATGATTATATGATAACACCATGATTCAAAGGAGGAGGGGGATTCGTCATCATGAAAGGGAAGGAATCTTTGTGTCTGGATTTCACCTTTTGCAAGACCCAAGGCAAAACCCTGCCTTGCTTACCCCTCAGCGAATCATCCAAAGCCATTCAAAACCACCATGTGAAAAGGCTCTCTCCCCCTCTTTCTCTCTCTCTCTCTCTTTCGAATTCTGCTTATGTGATCCCGAAATCGTCGACGTCTATGTTTGTGCGCATTCCACAAGACACTAACAGCGATAATAACGAAGGATTTTAAAAGAAAGTGGTACGAACGACAGCACTCGAAACAACGGCTCAAACTTCCAAGCCAACGTCAGTTTCGACTTTCTTCCTCCTGACTTCCATTTCTTTCATGCTACTGTCACAACATGGATGTTCGTGCCCCTCTCTCTCTCTCTCTCTTTCTCTATTTTCTTCTGCAGCTTTTCCTTTTTGCTCGTAGCGTCCCTGTAGAATCAAATCGTTTCTCGTTGACGACGGGATGTTCATACAGTGCAGCCGCGTTCAAATATGCCGCCGACGTGATTGGCCTTTACCATGAAGGGCCGCCTATCTCTAGTGAGTTTATTTCGAGGCGAATCTTGGAATAGCTCTTACAACATTACTGTGGCATACTTTTCCCGTGGAAACACCTTTATGACCTCTACATCTCGTGAGGATTACAGTGACGGGTTCGCAAACTTTAGATTTTCATATCACGGATTTAAAGAGTAGCTATCGCTCAATCCTAATATTCTATAACGAGCACGATACCTGTAAGACAACTTCAAGAGAGGGTCGCCAGCACTGGTCGCCCTTTTTTGCCCTTTTACGAATAAAAAAAATCATGTTCAAATATTTTGAGGGAAGAAATATCACTTCATCAAATAAATTTCTTAATACATTGTGAATTATGCAATATGAAACGCACATAATTGTGTCACTCTCGCACAAAATGTTTATGTCTAAACTGTGAAAAAATTAT